ATTTATAATAATTATCATTTTGATCCATACACTGGTAATGTCTGACTGGACCTCGTGTCACTTTATGTTCAATAAATTGGGCCCCGAGGTCAAAAAGGTTAAGAACCCCTGATTTAGAGGGRAAAAAGTCCCCTGTGAGTAAAGAGTGAAGTATTCAAGTCTAAACCTGCTTATTAAAAGGACATACAATATTATAACCATTCCTTTCTGATACCAGATTATTATTATATTATTATTATCAGGAGGATGAGACACAAAACTCACCTCAATCTCTGTAAATCTGAACCTTAGTCAATTTTTGTGGGGGCCATTTTAATTTGAGTTGACTCAGTTGTAGATGACTCAAACCTGTTGTGATTTAAGATGTTTTGCAGATGACCGGCAGTAATAAACACTGATTGTAGAAATAGTATATCCATGTTCTGACTTTCACAGCTGTTAAATATGAAGCAGTTTGTTTGTTGCTGATGTTGCAGAATGCCATTCATGCAGGTGTGTGGGGTGATGTGCAGGTGGGGTAATGGATGGTAGGACAGCACCAGCACCAACCCACCAGAGATTAGCAGTGGCGTTGTCTTTCTGAGCCCGCCATGCTGTCGTGTTGTAGATGGCCTCACCGTTCACCTTCAGCCAMTGACCCATCTGCCGCAGACGCTCCTCGAAGATGGGAATCATTCTGCCGTCGTGTGTGGGACCAACGTTCATCAGCAGGTTTCCTCCACAGGACACCGTCTCCACCAGGTTCTGAACACACACACACACGCACACACGCACACACAGGAGGTAAATGGGGATGTGTGTGTTTCTGATGCACTTAAACTACTGATAAAAAAGAGCAAGCACGAAAGCAGAAAACAGCTGGAGGACGTTCTGTTTTAGAGMAACTAAATCTGGCAGGAGATGTTTTAAATGAACTGACAGAAAGTTAACAGCTGTCAGGGTTTCCTCTAAAATAATTAAAATTATGTCAACAATTTACAGATTTAAGATGGTTGAATATGATAGTTTTTATGCTCCTATACTAAGTTTAGATTCTAAAGGACTTGTAAAGTAAAAAAAAAAACATATTTAAGACCAAATTTTTAACCCCTGCTGCTTCAGTTTCTTGTGGAAATTATTTATTTTTGAATGAAGTGAGACAAGACCTTTGAAATAAAGTCAAGAGAGTCGACCTGTCTTTTGTCAATTTAGACTCAAACCCACAGCTCAACCTTAGAGGCCAAGGTCTCCTGCGCAAAAAAGCGCAGCCTTAGTCAAACTAGTGCTAGCTACTCAAAAGGAAAAAAAAATTGTATAGGTCCTCTGGAGGGGTTCTTCTTTAATGAAACGTTTCGTCTCTCCTCCAAGAGACTTCTTCAGTCTGAGAGTTTCAGGCAAAATTCAGGCTTTTAAGTCCTGCCTCCATGTGACTGATACTCACATCACATGGCCATCGATGTGAGTATCAGTCACCTGGAGGCAGGACCCAAAAGCCTGAATTTTGCCTTAAACTCTCAGACTGAAGAGTCTCTTGGAAGAGAGACGAAACGTTTCATTTAAGAAGAACCCGTCCAGAAGACCTATGCAATTTTTTTTTTCCTTTTGAGTAGCTAGCACTAGTTTGACTAAGGCTGCGCTTTCTTGCGCAGGAGACCTTGGCCTCTAAGGTTGAGCTGTGGGTTTGAGTCTAAATTGACAAAAGACAGGTCGACTCTCTTGACTTTATTTCAAAGG